ATCCCAGCACTTTGAGAGGCCAAGGCAAGCCAGATCACCTGAGATCAGAGTTAAGACCAGCCTCCAGCTAACATCGGCGAAACCTTGTCTTTATGAAAAATTAAAAAATTAGCCAGGCGTGGTGGGTGTTGCACCTGTAGTCCCATGGCTACAGGGAGGCTGAGGCAGAGAGGTGCTGGAACCCAGGAGGTGGAGGCTGCAGTGAGCCGAGTAGTGCCACTGCAGTCAGCCTGGGTGGCAGAGCAGTACTTTGTCTCAAAAAAGAAGTTTATCTTGTGTTGGCCAGTAGAAAACATTTGAGTTATGGTTTCTGGCATTGTAGAGGATTAGATCTGGACCATCTGCAGTGATGGCAAATCCCTAATTATGGAGTCTTTCACAGGGCAGAACTCGATTACTGTCTCAATCTGAGTCATTGTCAGCAAATTGTTTGTTCCTCTGTGCTTGTCTTTGACCTGCGTGGTCAGGCGGCAGCTGCTTTTTCCACTCCCCATCACGTTGCCTTCCCACTGGCAGGGCTCATAAGGCATGGAGTGAGAAGGCCGTACCCCCACACTTTAAACGTGTGTCCCAGCAACTGTTCATAGCACGCCCAGCTTGTTTGCCTGGCTGTGACTTAGCCTGTCATCAGTGACACGGTTGTGTCTTAGCTGTATGGATCAGGAAAATGTAACTGGTTTTTGGTTGTGTGCTCCCCCTAAAGTTTGGGCTTCTAGTAGAAGGTTATTCGTAAGCATCCCTCCAGCCCCCTGCATCTGTGGAAACATTGACATCCGTTCCACGGTGATGAGTGAGGTCCACGTTGATCAGTTGCTACTTTCCTTCTCTTCCTCCTTTTCTCCTTCCCTTTCTCTTTCTCTCCCTCTGGTCAGCTTTATCGAGGAGTCTAATAAAATCCACCTTTATTTAGGTTTATAGTGGATGTTTTGACAGCTGTAAAGGTTTTGGGTTTCTTTGTTTTGTATTTGTTTTGAGGCAGAGCCTTGCTCTGTTGCCTGAAGCTGCTGGAGTGCAGTGGCGCGATCTCCGCTTACTGCAACCTCCGCCTCCTGGGATTCAAGCTTAATTCTCTACTCAGCCTCCCGAGTAGCTGGGATTACAGGCATCCACCACCATGTCAGCTAATTTTGTATTTTCCAGTAGAGACGAGGTTTCACCATCTTGGTCAGGCCGGTCTTGAACTCCTGATCTCGAGATCCACCCGCCTCGGCCTCCCAAAGTGCTGGGGTTACAGGTGTGATAACCGCGCCTGGCTTAAACAGCTGTGTTTGTAGGTGTGTACAACCCCACAATATGTGATACAGAACATTTCCGTCCTCCATGAGGTTCCTGTCCCTTTGTGTCTAAGTCTCACTCTCCCCCGTTGCCCTTGACAACTGCTGATCTTCTTTCTGTCAATGGGAAGTTCTGCTTTTGTAGAATTTCCTTATAAATGGAATCGTGCAGAGCTGTAGACTTCCAGTCTATGCCTTCTTTACCAGCATCGTGTTTTTGAGGTTCGTACTGCTGTTGCAAGTATGTTAGTTCATTTGCCTTTTCCTACAGAAGTAGATGTTCCCGGATGGCCACACCACAGTGTGTGTATCATGCACCATTGACGGACACTGGAGTTCTTTCTAATTTTGCCTTCTAGGCTCAATTTCCTCTAAACCTTCATACTCATCCTAGTACGTAAAGCAAGCTGTCCTAGTCGCACTGCCGATTTTAAAGGGAAGTCTTGTAACACTTTACAAGCACTGACTTGTAGTTTTAATGCTACTATGTTAAGAGGTGCCTTGCTCTTATTTTAAAATCATGAATGGTTGGCAGCGCAGTGGCTCACGCCTGTAATCCCAGCACTTTGGGAGGCTGAGGCGGGCGGATCACGAGGTCAGAAGATCGAGACCATCCTGGCTAACTTGGTGAAACCCCGTCTTTACTAAAAATGCAAAAAATTAGCCAGGCGAGATGGCGGGCGCCTGTAGTCCCAGCTACTTGGGAGGCTGAGGCGGAGAATCGGCGTGAACCTGGGACGGAGCTTGCAGTGAGCCGAGATCGCGCCACTGCACTCCAGCCTGGGCGACAGAGTGAGACTCTGTATCAAAAAAAAAAAAAAAAATCATGAATGGTTGTGGAGGTTTATCAAATCCTTTTTTCCTCCCATCACATCGAGAGATGTTTTGTGCTGATCTCTTAACCTAGTGAATTTTATTAAATTTTCTTGTATTGAGCCAACTGCTCTCCTGAAATAGAAATCCATTGGTCACGATGGATTTTTAAAAGTGCATTTCAGAAGTTTGTTGCCCTCACGTACCAGAGCCACACTGCAGGATTAAGTTTGCTAACGTGGCCGTGCTTACTTGCCTTTGCAGACGTGGAAGCCAGGTTTTCTCTTTCCCAATTTGGAGAGTGCTTTCTGACTATTGTGCAATTCTTCAGTTCTGCTCTGATGTAAGTCTTCTCAGCTGTGTTATTTTCTCTGGCAGTAATAAACAGCCCTGTGATGTTGGTGGCAGAAAGTATTATTTATTTTCAGTACTTAGTTCTTTGGACGTAATGAAACCCCTGTGTTTTGCTAACCTATCAAGATACCTGACGTGGGCACAAAACATGGTCTGTAAATTAACATATTTGAATGAGCGAATGTTGAGTGATTCACGCAAATGTAGCATTACTGCTTATCGTGAGAGTTCTACCCATTAATTAGGTTGTAACTTATAGTCAAGTAGTTTAGTATACTCAGTGTGGATTTTATGTGATATATGGTTGTCTTTTAACCCATATTCTAGATTTCTACAGTTTGATTTTGGTTTCATTCATCAAGTGTTATAATTCATATGGGGAGAATATTCCTTGAATCATGTTGCAGAAACTTAGGTTGTAAATAATTTCTTCTTTCCGAGGTTACGATGCTTCTGGATTTTGAGGGCTGTACATCACAGGGTCTTCTCAGGAGAATTCTGTTTTGCTCCTCTCAGAGGAAATTATCTCCGTGGCACTTTATATACTTTGATGTCACACTGCTGATACATATAGTAGAATTATGGTATTTTAAAATTTCTCAAATCTGATTGTTTATAAGTAAACATGAAATTGTGTATTTTCAGTTTCCAATATAGTTCCTTTTTAGTTACGCAGAGTCGCTCCAGCTCCTTGTACATTGAACTGCTGAGTGTTCCGGGCCTGCTTTGGAGTCATGCAGGGTGTTTGTTAGGTGGACATGAAGTAAAGACTGAGGGTCTGTTAGGGGACCTCAGAAGCCCTCTGAGGCCTTCTGTGGGAGAGTGCTGTTGGGGTTTTTGGGAAGGCCTTTTCCTTCTGAATTAGCACGTGTGTTCTGGCGTTCAGGTTTCTCAGTTTGGCAAGCAAACTGGAATGCCTCTAGTTTTAAAATTTATTCAGCCCTGGTAGTAGCTTAGTAGTAGCAATACATTTTGTTATTGTTAAAGTATTAACTGATTTGCGGAAAAAGATACTTTTGGGAAGAGTTTAAGTTTGTACTAATTTTAATGAATTCACTCTCTATAAAGACGTGAACATCAAGAATATTACTAGAGACACAGTAGCTAATGATATCCAGTGAGTACTTCTTGTTTGACCATTTCAGATTATTCTGTGTTTGTCCCTTAAACACAACTCATCCTTCAGTCATCCTTCGCTTTACTGCCCATTATGATGTGTCACCGCTTCGCGACAGCTCGCTCATTGCAATGCAAGTTGCTGTCCTGGTACAGAGCCCCACTGTGTCCACTAGACCAGCCCTTCCACTAAGCTGACTGGTCGCCTCCACTCAGAGTCCACTGAGCTGACTGTGCCTCCACTCAGAGTGCTGAGCTGACTGGTCGCCTCCACTCAGTGCACTGGGCCATTTCTTCCACCTCCACAGAGTCAGTGCTTGGAGAGCCCGTTCAAGTGAGCTGTGCCTCACCTTTCCCCTTCCTCCTCCTCCCCTTCCTCCTCCTCCCCTTCCTCCTCCTCCTGCTCTTCCTCCCCTTCCTCCTGCTCTTCCTCCCCTTCCTCCTCCTCCTCGGCAGCGCTGCTGCTGGCAGGCCTCCTTTGGCACGCATCACAGATGTGTGTGCACCTCAGCTTATTCCATTTGGCTGTTGACTCACAGTCTTACTTGATGTTCACCAGTAACCTTTTGAGATACTTGGAGCAGGCATTTTGTAGACAAGGAAACAGGCCTGGCCACAGTGTGATAAGTGGCAGAGTGACAGTGTCCCAGCCTCCTGGGTGTTAGAGTCCTCTGTGGAGATGTGCAAGGATGGGGTGAAATGAAACGCAATCGTAGCATCTCCCTTGGCATTAAAATTTGCCTGTCTTCCCTCAGCCCATCGGCGCCATTGTCCTGGATAAATGGGAGCGTGGGCTGGTGTGAGATGTTCACGTGGGATGCTGGGAGCCAGCCTGTGATGCCAGCCCAAGCTCACAACACTCTCGTTTGGTGGCTTCTTGAAGCCACAAGTGTCCCCCTCTGCAGTGTTGGGGACTTTATTATGACTCTCATGTCAGATGGTGGCCAAGCAGGAACCAGCCGACACTAACAGAGGCTTTCAAATGCTTCCTTTGAAAAATGTTCTCGATTCCCCCAGGACTTCATAAAGTGGAGAAAAATGTGGCCTCTGTCCAAGAAGAAGCTGTCACAGCCGAAAACGTGTAAACTATTGATGTACTTGAATTGCTCTCTGTGTCAGAGGCTGAAAATCGATGTTTACTAATTGCTGTGGCTGATGCACTAAGCGGCCGAGGCCTGCTCTGTTCCTCATCACGCCGCAATGGCTGCTGGATGGGGTCAGTGTTAAGCAAGCCTGTTGCCTAGGACTGGGCAAGCTGTTCGGAGAGAATATTGGTGCCTCCTTCAGGGGAGAAGGCGGTAACACAGAGAACAAGAATCCTCAAGGAGAGAGCAGGGTAGAGGCAGGGGAAGGACTTCCCTCAGTGTTGCGGTTTTAATCATAATGCTTGTAATGATGTTTGTTGTCACGTAACATAAATGTCTGTTTCTCCTGCTTCTCCAGATCCACATAGACATCCCTCGCATGAGCCCTGAAGCGTTGATTCTGCAGCCCAAGGTGACGGAGGTAAGACGCTCTTGCCGTGGGGCAGTTCCCCTTCTTGGGAGTGGCTGATGCCGCCTGTGCTAACCAGACAGTGGGTGCAGCTGGAGGTGGTTCACCCAGAAGCAAGGCTGCTGTGGCGAACTGCCGGTGCATCTGGCCCTTGTGGACACAGTTGCTGACAGGAATCTTATTTGTTCTTTCAATGTTTTTACTGTATAATATTGACACACAGCAAACAATGTATATAATACACACATGTGTGGATGTGTGCACTCATGATCCACCACCATATTGAGGAACCAGAACCCCCCAGTGCTGCCCAGCGACGCACATGGCCATGACCTCAGGCCTGACCCAGAGCACTGAGGCTGCTTATGTATCCCCCACCCCCTGCAGCCCCCTTCCTGGATGACGCTTTCTTGCCTTTTATGTTTTCGATTCTTTGTGACTTTCATTCATGGGACATTAGGAACACAATGTGTTCATTTAATTTGGGTCTTTTGGAGCTGCATCACTCTTTGTGTAGTCTGGTCTCTGCCTCTTGTTTTTTTCCTCTATTTATTTAGAGACAGAGGCTTGCTCTGTCTCGCAGGCTGGAGTGCTGTGGTGTGATCTCAGCTCACTGCAACCTCCACCTCCTGGGTTCAGGTGATTCTTTTGCCTCAGCCTCCCTGGGCTGGGATTACAGGCACCCACCACCATACCCGACTAATTTTTGTATTTTCTGTAGAGATGGGGATTTGCTGTGTTGGCCAGGCTGGTCTCGGAACTCCTGATCTCAAGTACTCTGCCCTCCTTGGCCTCCTAAAATGCTGGGATTATAGGTGTGAGCGACGGCGCCCGACCTCTCATTGTTTTCTAAGATTCAGCGAATCTGTTGTATCTAGTTGTATAATGGTTTGTTATTTAAATATTCCACACTGTCCTTCGCCTTCTTCCTGTTGGACATTTGAGTTGTTTCTGATGTTTTGCTGTTAGGAAGGGTGTTATCTGGAGCCTTCACATACGTTTATGCAGGTGCCCACAGGCAAGATTTCTCTAAGGCGTTTACAAAGCAGTACAATGATTGCATCACTGGGTGTGGTGTGTGCCTGTTGTACCTTCAAGATAATGTCCACACACTTCCCAGACGGCCTCTACCAATGCATCTCCCCTCTGCAGCGTGTGAGCGTTCCCTCCGTGCGCCGCACTTCCTTGCCAGTTCTTCATGCTGCGGACTTCTTGTTTTTGTTGCTCTGGTGGATATTCCTACTGGAGTCCTCACGTTCGTTTCTCTGGTTACTCTTGGAGTTAAGCATCTCTGTATATTTACGGATGTCTTCTGTCTTCCCCCTTCTGTAAAATGTTCCTGCCTTTTGCCCATTTTTCTTTTGGTTTGTTGATTCACTCTTTCATGAGTTGTTGATCTTTACATGGTAAGAATTCTGATTCTTTGTCAGTTTGTATGTTGCAAAGATCTTCTGCCCCCTGCAGCTTTTCTCTTCCTTTTTTCCTGGTGGATCTTGATGATCAGAAGTTGTTAGCTTTAGTGTGGTTGAACTTCACAGTCTCTTTTGGTGAGCACTGGTTCGCGCTTTATCTGAGGAACCTTTTTCTATACATGAAGGTGTCTGCCCAGATTTTCATCCAAAAGTTTTGCTTTTCATGCCTCCGTGTTCAGTTCATCTGCAGTTGATGGCTGTGTGATGGGAGGTAGGAATCTGTTTAATTTCCTCCTGGGACAGCGGCAGGCCCCATACTGTTGTTGGGTCTAGCTCGTCTCCCGCATTTGAGATGTCACTCCTGTTTTCTGTCACTGCCACATTCATATAGATCTGTGTTGTGTGTTTTTTGTTTTTGGTCCCAGTATTTAGGGAGTCTTCCCTTCATATTGCACCTTGCAAGTAATTTAACTTCATGAAGTCCTCCTACCTGGTGGGGGCGCACACTGCCCAGTAGTTTCCTTTTCACCATGGATGGCCAGTGCCACCCCTTGCTCTTCCACACACATCTCAGAGTCAGTTTGCCAAGGTCTTTCACTTGGTTTTTGTTTTTCAGGTCTGTTTGGTTTATGTCTGGAATTGCATGGAATCTTTCTGTTGCATGGAAAGTTAGGGGTCAGAAAAGACAATTTTCAGTTTGGGAGAATGGATAGCTTTATGAAATTAAATATTTATTTTCGTGAACGTGCTTGTTCCTCTTTTAAAAGTCATTTTTAATGCTTTTCAGTGAAGCTTTTGAATTTTCCCCATGAAGGGCCTTGTACATGTGTTACCTACCAATGGAGGGTGTCCAGGTTCTTGATGCTTTGAATAAAGAATTGGACAAAATGCACAAACAAAGCAAGGAAAGAATGAAGCAACAAAAGCAGAGAGTTACTGAAAATGAAAACACACTCCCCAGTAAGTAGTGGACCTGAGCAAGCAGCTCAAGGGCCTGGTAGCTGAATTTTCTGGGGTTTAAATACCCTCTAGAGGTTTCCCATTGGTTACTTGGTGTACACCCTATGTAAATGAAGTAGTGGCCCACGATCAGTCTGATTGGTTGCAGAAAGCGACCAATGAGAGGCTGAAGTGAAGTTATAAAACACCCTATGCAAACATCTGATTGGTTGCAGAAAGTGACGAATCGGAGGCTGAAGTCACAAAGTTACACTTCTATGCAGATGAAGACTTGGCCTGGGACCAATCAGAGGTACTTTCAGTATTTCATCTGCCACGCAGAAAAAGGGTGGATTGTGAAGGGAGTAGCCTCTGGTCCTTTTGTTACCTGGGCATGGAAAGTTTTTTTTTTTGTTTGTTTGTTTTTTTTTTTTTAAATTCTAGGAAGCTAGTGTGAATTGGCCTTAGGTTACCTGCCTCCAGACCCTATTCTCCTGCCTCACATGTTTTATTAGATTTATTCTTAGTTATCACATTTTTTCTTGTTATAGTAAATGTTATCTCTTTAAAGCTGAATTTTTTTATTGTTTGAAATATTTTGTTTTGCATGTTGATTGCTTCAGTAAATGCACTTTTAAACTTTGACATTTCTTGTCTGTGCAGTAAATCTTAAAAAAAAAAACAACTCAGGATTGTTAAAGCAAAAGTACTTATAGATTGTAGAATACAAAAAGAGAAAATTAGTATCCAGCGGAAGGAGTCATTATGAGACGCTTCTCTTTGATTGTCCTTTTTAGTAATTGTGCTTATCATACCTGGAAAATGAAATAATTTATTATAGCCTCCTTTTTACTTATGATTTTAAAAATGGGAAATAGAGCCTGCCACAGGATCTTTGGTTTATTCTTATTTATTTTTTCCTACCACTTGCCACATTCTTTGTACTGCTGACCTCTCAGGCCCCTTGGTCTCAGAGTGTGGACCGTGAGTCACTGCTAGTGGTAGCAATTGGCAATTGGTCCTCTTGTCTCTGACCCCTGTGGGCCTCGAGCTGTTGGTTTGGAAAGCTTCCCCTGTCAATTGAGAAAAAATGATGAGACAACTCTCGATCATTTTAGGAGGTTTGTTTGCCAAAGTTAAGGAAGCACGCCTGGGATTCAGGTCTGTGTTTTCTCTGACGATGATTTTCAGGGCTCCAAATTTGAAGGGGACAGGGCCGGATATTGAGAAGTGCACAATTTTCATGTAGGAGGGAGATAGAGAAAAACAGTCATTCATGCCTTTGTCTGGCTCAGTGAATCTGCATTTTTTTTTTTTTTTAAACGTAAAATGACATAGACAAATGGAGCGGAGGGAAGATGCAGGGAGTCTGCGTGTTACATAAGATAACCTAGACACAATGGGGCCGGGGAACAATCAGATATGCATTTGTGTCTGGTGGGCCGGCGAAGACTGCACCTGTAAACATAAGCTGTCCATTTACACTGCCATGCTGAAATGTTTGCAGAAGCACCTTAAAAGGTCTTACAGCTCACTAGGAATTTCCTTGTGGGCAAAATAGTGGGGAGGTGTGTAGCTTCATCGTGTAGCCTTCTTATTTTGGAACCAAAAGGGGAAGGCAGGTTTGCATCGCCCAGTTCCCAGCTTGACTTTTCCCTTTGGCTCAATGAGTTTGAGATTTCAAGATTCAGTTTCCTTTCACGCCCTCTGCAGTGGGTCTTGCTCGGCTCCCACGTGCTCCCCCTGGGGGATGCTGATCCTCTCCAGGTCCCAGCTCAGCAAGGCTTGGCAGAGTGGATCAACTTGGAGGGTAGATGAGCTTCTGGGAGAGCCAGGCTCCTGCAGGCTGGCAGAGTGTGAAGAGGGGGTAACCTGAGCACAGCCTTGTGTGTGTGGGGAAACTGAATGATGAGCAAGGGGCTTTAGGAAAGTATTGAAATGTTTGTCTTGGCCGGGCGTGGTGACTCACGCCTGTAATCCCAGCACTTTGAGAGGCCAAGGCAAGCAGATCACCTGAGGTCAGGAGTTCAAGACCAGCCTGGCTAACATGGCGAAACCTTGTCTTTATGAAAAATTAAAAAATTAGCCAGGCGTGGTGGGGTGTACCTGTAGTCCCAGCTACTTGGGAGGCTGAGGCAAGAGAATTGCTGGAACCCAGGAGGTGGAGGCTGCAGTGAGCCGAGGTGGTGCCACTGCAGTCCAGCCTGGGTGACAGAGCAGTACTTTGTCTCAAAAAAAAAGTTTATCTTGTGTTGGCCAGTAGAAAACATTGAGTTATGGTTTCTGGCATTGTAGAGGTTAGATCTGAATACATCTGCAGTGATGGCAAATCCCTAATTATGGTGCTTTCACAGGACAGAACTCGATTACTGTCTCCAGTACGAGGTCATTGTCAGCAAATTGTTTGTTCCTCTGTGTGCTTGTCTTTGACCTCGTGGTCCAGGGCGGCTGGCCTAGCACTCACTCTTCATCACGTTTGCCTTCCACTGGCAGGGCTCATAAGGCATGGGTAGAGAAGGCCGTACCCCCACTTTAAACGTGTGTCCCAGCAACTGTTCATAGCACTTCGGCTTGTTTCTTACTGGCTGTGACTTAGCCTGTCATCCGAAGTGACACGGTTGTGTGCTTAGCTGTATGGATCAGGGAAAATGTAACTTTGGT